AAGGAACTGACTCAGTGTTATCAAAGTTTCTGTGATCACAGAATACAGTAGGAATTTTGCATAAGTTTAGAAGGATTTGTAAGAAATGTTCGAAGGAACTGACTCAGTGTTATCAAAGTTTCTGTGATCACAGAATACAGTAGGAATTTTGCATAAGTTTAGAAGGATTTGTAAGAAATGTTCGAAGGAACTGACTCAGTGTTATCAAAGTTTCTGTGATCACAGAATACAGTAGGAATTTTGCATAAGTTTAGAAGGATTTGTAAGAAATGTTCGAAGGAACTGACTCAGTGTTATCAAAGTTTCTGTGATCACAGAATACAGTAGGAATTTTGCATAAGTTTAGAAGGATTTGTAAGAAATGTTCGAAGGAACTGACTCAGTGTTATCAAAGTTTCTGTGATCACAGAATACAGTAGGAATTTTGCATAAGTTTAGAAGGATTTGTAAGAAATGTTCGAAGGAACTGACTCAGTGTTATCAAAGTTTCTGTGATCACAGAATACAGTAGGAATTTTGCATAAGTTTAGAAGGATTTGTAAGAAATGTTCGAAGGAACTGACTCAGTGTTATCAAAGTTTCTGTGATCACAGAATACAGTAGGAATTTTGCATAAGTTTAGAAGGATTTGTAAGAAATGTTCGAAGGAACTGACTCAGTGTTATCAAAGTTTCTGTGATCACAGAATACAGTAGGAATTTTGCATAAGTTTAGAAGGATTTGTAAGAAATGTTCGAAGGAACTGACTCAGTGTTATCAAAGTTTCTGTGATCACAGAATACAGTAGGAATTTTGCATAAGTTTAGAAGGATTTGTAAGAAATGTTCGAAGGAACTGACTCAGTGTTATCAAAGTTTCTCTGATCACATTAGGAATTTTACATCAGTAAATTCTAAGTTTTAAAGGATTGTAAGAAATGTTCGAAGGAACTGACTCAATGTGAATTAAACAATGTCAATGAGTCAGTTCTCTCAAAAATTTCTTACAAATCCTTCAAATTACCGATGCAAAATTCCTACTGTGATCACATAAACTTTGATTGTGTAAACGTATTATGCCGGATTTTTCAAAAGTACAAAATTAGTACGAGAACTATTTGTAATTCGAACTGTAACGCGCTCTCCAGTTGCTAAGATCACATCTACCTACATTCTTGATGTAACGTAATTGCCTCACGCTGTGTTAGCGAGTCGTTTCCGTCTTTTCTTTGTAACTTTTATAATTATGTTAATTTAATAAAGAAATTTTGGAGTATTGCAAGATTAACGAGATCTCGCTGGGTAACAAAGTGATGTATCAGTATTTCGTAAGAATCGTAGCAAGGCAACGCAACGATAGGCAACGCAACAATGACCGCTAAACAACTTTCTTAAGTCAGATTTTTGCAAATGAAAAAAAAATAACCAACAGAGAAGAGTGCTAATAAGTTAGGGTTCTGTGCAACACGGAAAAAACCTCTGGTTTTTCGTTGTAAACAAAGCCAATATTCAGGTCTTAAACTCTCAAAGTTGGACAAGAGTTTCTAATTATATGCCATCAACTGTATTTGCTTGAGAACTTAATACTGTAAGCCCCTGGGCTTATATTCCTTTGTAAGCATTTTTTGATGGGCTTGTACATGTGAGGACTTATATGGGG